CTTTTAGCGAAAACTTGTATTTTCCAAACCTTGCATTTATCGTTCCACCTCATTCCTCCACCAAAACCCGGTCTGCTTCATGGACAATTAGACATTCAAATTTGATCAAATCTTATTAATTTTTCATGGTAAAATATAGCTGAAGTTTCAATGCAATACGGATATTTAAATATTTACTCTAGGTTAAACACGGGTTCATAAGTTAAACCATGAAATAAAAACACAAAACTCTTCACAAAGTATAGTAAAATGCCGATTATCCGTGGTAATTTGGAAACGTAAAAGGACGGTTAATACAAAGATCGCGTTTCTTTACTTTAAAAACTTAACATCTATATATTGATACATAAAATCACTGTAACTTTTTATTGTTTTCCTTGTAAAATTATTTAAGATAATGGCAGATTTTATTGTTTAACTTATGAATTAAGTAACTACGGTTAACCCGAACCACGGTAACTTGAAACGCGGATAATCAGCATGTATAATAATAATAATGTTTATTGCATCAGTCGTGCAGAAAAAAACATATAAAGAAATAAAAAGAACAAAATAAATATATATATATATATAATTTCAAAAAAAGTCAATTGATACAAAGGGCTATTGACCATAGGTGTTTCTGCCCTTACTTTTTTGTTATTCGTGTGTTTTTTAAATGTTATACATTTTTGTCTGAAATTATTTATATTATGATTGTTGCAATAATCGTTGTAATTATTACCATATTGAAAGTGACATTTTTCAAAATGAAAAAAGTTTCTACTTTAGTTGATTAAAAATATAAGTGTGAATAAATTATTAAATAAATTTTGATGTTACAATTATTTTTATTGGAGTCAATCGATTCCTTGCGGACATGAGAGGAATTGCTGTATTTATTATATTTTTTTGAATATCTTTCATACCAATTTAAGAAAAAAAACAGAAACAATTTGAAAACTAATAATAGATTTTATTTTGCAATTTGGCACAAATATTTTCCAAGGTAATAAAACTTTATAGATGTCTTAGAACGATCAGTATTTCTGTACATCAATAAAATCAAGCACCCCAATAACGACGCACATAATCCGACGAATCAGTTTCTAACTGAAGTTCTAGGAATACTCCTGAGAATAGAAAAGCTGGTCAATAAATTGCTATAAACGGGTAGAAGTTTCCCCAGATGGTCAGTATATTAATAAGTTTCCAAAAGAAATACAATTTGTGAAACATCAAATTTTAGTGTGTATGCAATTTTAATGCATAACAAAAATAAGTAATTGCTTCAAAATAAAAGAAATATAAATTTAACTGTAACTAAGAGAATTAAATTTACAATTCCTATTAAAATAATACCAATTAGTAAGTGAATAATATTAAAGCGCTCAAGTCAAGAAATGTTTGAAACTAAAAAAAAAACAATACTCAATTTATTTTATATTTCTTTACGACACTTCAAAAATACAATTTATGAAATTCACGAAATCTTCTAACTATATATTATAAAACCATTTACTACTTATCTACATTTCGTGTATCTTGTGGTATATATCGAAGAAAGTCTATCATGTCCTTGTTTTTCGATGTTGTAATTTGTCTTATATTTTTACAAAATTATATCAATAAAATATTTTCGAATTTCTTTTTGGTCTAGTAATAAATCCAGTATTTTAAACTCTTCATTGATATGTTAGAAAATTGTATATAGTTTATTTCTCAAAAAAAAACGAATCCTGCTTATTTTTAATCAATTTATTGTTTTTCAGTTAGAATTCTTAACTAAGGTTTATAAAAATAAAAAAATATGGAAATAAATACTTTGGTTTTTGCCAATACGTAAAAAAATATTGATCTGCTTTAGTAAAAATCCCAACATTAGTTTTTCAATAAGTTTTCATATAAATTTTCCAAAAAAATGTTATATAATTGTTTATATATGTAAAATTATCATTCGTCCAAATTAAAACATAAAATGTCGTTTTAATTTCCACCCTACAACAATAACTATTTAATATTAGATTTTTCTAATTAGTAGTCAAATTACTAGATAATATAGTTTAATTATTAAATTGAAAAAAATTAAACTGTTTGCTTCTACTATTCTTCTTTTAAATAATTTTTAAACTCTCTGCACTCATTGAAGTATTTTTTTAATTTATATTTATTTTTGTCAGTAATCGATTGATGAAATAAATTTTGTTATTATGAAATTTTGATTCTAAATTATTATTCTAAAATGGTGTTAAGAATCTTAAAAGAATGAAATAAAATAAATTTCAATTTTAAATATTTTTATAATAAATTATAATTTCTGGTAAATTAAAGGTAAATGTGAAAGAAAAATACTAGTATAATGTGTTTTATTGATATAATTGTGATGATTGTGAAAAATATTATTAATATTAAAATTGAAGTTATGAATCCCAAATAAAATATATTTTAAATATAAAAATGTTATATTTTTACATGTTCAAAAATATAAAATTATTCAGTTTAGATACAACATTTATTTGTAACAAAATTATAAGTAAAGATATATCTTTTTGATTAATTCATAAAAATACAATTTCAAAGTTGCAATGAGCTGAAGGAAATAAGTTTAAAAAAAAAGTTGATGAAAATTGTATTGTAATACTTGCGTATTATTTACCGTGCGCACTGTTGAAGGCGTCGGTATAGGAGATATTGTTTGAAAAGAAAAAGAGTCGCACGATAATTGCGGCAGACGCGGCGCGGTGGTTTAGCACTGAATGGAACGGAGGAAGCGTTTACGAAGCGAAGGCGGAGGCGGCGGCAGCAGCAGCGGCGGCAGCGCGCGACAGACTGCGGGGGCGTCGAACCGCCGCCTCCGACACCGGCGCCGCCGACGCGGACCTCTGCCGTTGCCTGGTCCAGCACGCGCGGGACTTATCACAGCCGCCTTCCACCGCCCCTTTTCAACCCTCTGCAAGAACATGTTTATGCATATCAATCACTTTATTTGGTTGTTCAACATGTGGAGATTTCAGACACTCAATTATCTATCATATGCACAATATGTTACCATATTATATCCAAAAAAGAGTTATATACTTAAATCGTATTAATACTTTCACATTTGTTAATAAATTTTGAAATATTTGTATATATTTATGTTTAAAGTATAATAACTGTTAAATCTCATAATTAGTTCCATTCGCATAAGGTCTTTTCTATTTATTGGTTTTCTTTCAGTTTTTTTTCAGTTTTCATCTAATTCTTGTTTAACGGTGGCAATCGCATGCCCGACAACCGAAATCCCGTCTATCGAAATCCCATGTGTATCGAAATCCCGACGTTCGAAATCCCGACTACCATAATCCCGACAATCAAAATCCCGACAGTGTCTTTAATTATTATAAATTTCTACAATAACATTTTTCATCATCCCGACTACCATGATTTCAACAGCGTCGGGATTTTGATTGTCGAGATTATGGTAATCGGGATTTTGACATAGTCGGGATTATGGTAGTCAGGATTTTGACATAGTCGGGATTTTAATACAGCCGAGATTTCGAACGTCGGGATTTCCATACAGTCGGGATTTCGAACGTCGGGATTTCAATAGACAGTCTTTCGGTTGTCGGGCTTGCGATATAGACCACTTGTTTAACATTTATAATAGAAATCTCTTTTATAATACAAATCAAAACAAAAATGTCATATTACTTCTTTGTCTAAATAATATTTTCAGAAAAAATAAAGAAAATCTCCAAAAAATATAAAAAAACATTGCTTTTATAATCATCTTAAATAAATTGAAATGTTTAATTTTCACATATAATTTTTAGAGTCCGCTCGTATTGAGTAAAACAAATTCTAAAACTTATTTTTGTACACTAACTTATTTTTGTCGCTTATTGTGCGTTTTATTTTTGTATAAATTTAGTTCCTTGATTAGTCCGGTTTCAAAAAGATGCCGGACTGTAATTGGTGCAATCGATTACCAGCACATTATGTTATTGTAGTTCTTTTGTAATAATATTAATGTAGTGGCTCGAAAAATTAACAAGCAATTTTATATAAATATACCGATCTTATGACTAAATTAGAAGGTTTTAATTATGTAACTTTAAGTTAATTTACTTTCAATTATACTGCAATCAACTCTTCTAGTTTTATTAATTAAAAATTCTACGTTTTTAAACATGATTTGTTCTTGAATTTTTAATTTTTACGTGGAAAAAAACTGCATAAGAAAAGTATAAGATAGAACATCGGATTAAAAAAGCAAGTTAACAATTCGTTTTTCATCTTTGGAAGAAAAAATGGTAGAGATTAAAAATAATTGGGAAAGGCCAGCCCTTTAAAGTATAAAAACTGTATGTTAAGTATTATACTAAGAAGAGTTTATTGTAATGAATAATTGATATATAATATGATCTGTAATATGTTTATAAAGCCCATCTATTTAAGATCTATATTATTTGAATTATTTAAATGTAAAAGCCGGGTTAATAGCATTGCAATTTCCTTACTTTATTCATATACTCTGGTTTCCAGAATTATAAGTTCACTTATCCTCCATCTATCCTCTTTATCTTTCATTTAACTGATTATTTTTTATCATCGCCTTTTTTGCAGAAGACTTCATTCCGTATCTTGTAATCATATAACATTGTAAGAACAAATGGTTATTTTCGTCTTTGAGCTTGTACAGCTGATGGGCACAGGTTTTCTTATTCTCTTCGAGGGACATCTTGGAATGTTCAATTCGAAATATTAACTAAGATTATCAAAAAACGGATAGTATATTTGAGCAAAAATCAATTCATATATATCTTCAATAACCTAAAGAAGTGACATCAGGTGACAGAAAAATTAAAAATAAAAAAAAATATGCAAGACAAAATCTGTATCATTTCTTGTGTCTTAATATCGTGTAAGGTTCTGTATATTATTTCGAGTATATTTCCTGCAGTGTTCAAAACAAAGTTGTGTTAGTTGGCGTTAGTATTTCTATAACCTCAATCAAAGTTGAACTAAATAGAAAGATGGTTTTGGTTGCAAAGGTAGTAATAGCGAGTCTGATAATTATTCAGACCATGATGAGGATAAACCAGGTACTGTTACCTTGATACAGAAGTCATCCAGCAATGAAGCACAAGGTTCTGACAAAATGGAGTAGGGGCCCGACACTCTTTTCAAGAAATTGCCTGATCCCAAAATGGATACTAACCCAGACATTGAGGAGGAGGTTGATGAGTTCTTGAGAAACCTCAGAAGCCGAAGAAAATCATTAAGATTGGAGTCCCTGCACTTGAGCAGTTTGACAGCGATGAAGAAGATTCTAAACCATTGAAACTTCGTTTACAAGCTTCTAAGACGAGTGACTTGTTTGTCATTCTTCCTGCTCCAAAGAATGTGCCAATGACAAACAGAACATTTGTTCTAAATGTTTTGACAAATAAGAAGCCTACAGCTACTATAACTAGACCAAAGCAGGAGACAAAGCCAAAAATTTCTGAAAAGAGGAAACTCCCACAAGAGAGTGATGATGAGGATTATGATGAGACTAAGGTTGAGATGTTTGATGATGAAAGAAGAAGAAGTCTGTGAAGATTATCCCTGATGCAGAGGAAGAGGCTACTCCAGATACAACTGTTGATTCTGCTCCTGATGCACAAGAACCATATGCTGGTTTGGATAATGAAGCTTTCAATCAGTTGGTTGGCTCAGGAAAATTGCATAAGTTGAATAGCAAGTTGGTCAATGAAGCTGAGGTTTTGCCAGAGAAGGATGCTTGGGTCACTAAGGCTCACAATGATCCAGAGGCCAATCCAAAGGGTACTGCCGTCAATGATCCAGTCAACAATACATGCAAGAAGAAGCACCACATCACATATCTTGCTCAACAGTGGTCTGCCAGCCAATTCTCTAGGAAACAGACACAAGCCAAATATGGCTTTTAAATTATTGCGGTTTATCATAATAAGTCTTTCCTGTTCCTGCGTCGGGCGCACCGTACCGGGCTTGTAAGTCCGTAGCTGGTATTCCGGGAAGGTTGGATAAGGGTACTGTCTGCTTAGGGTATATAAGCTGCAACATATTGCGAGGATGCTCCACACAAACCCTGCTTCACACATACAAAACTTTCATCCGACCAGTACTCACATATACTTCCAAAATCCTAACAATAGCTTCAAAGCCTTCAGCACATAAGATCCTTAAGGCCGAGAGATGCGCAATCCGAAAGATCCTCAAACTCCACTTCAGGTACCCTAGCTCCGAAATTTATAATCTTGTCACGTTCCCCTCAATATCCGAGCAAATTAAAAAATTCCAAGGACGACACGCCACCAAAACATACACTCTCACTATTTACACCTCCTCCAATTTCAGCCACAAAAAAAATTCCCAAACACAAAATCACATTCCCTCCTGCGGCGCTTGCTAGCAACGCACCTCCAGATAACCCAGAAATCACGGCATTCATAAAATCAATAAACCAATGTAATTAATTATTTTAAAACCAATGTAATTAATAACATCATAACCAATGTAATTAATATTTTTTTTAGATATATAACATAAGCAATAATCATAATAATATTAATGGCACAAAGAGCAATAGCTCACAAAAGGCCACAAATCTAATAATTAAGTATACCAATGTAACATAACAAATATAAATCAAATAAAGAAAATTTAAACTGAAAACTGAACTGTAATCGCTCTCTTTTTTCATTTTCTTGTGTCTTAATATCGTGTAAAGTCATCTGTATTATCTCGTGTGTATTTTTCTCTGTGTTGGCTCTTGGGCCTCGGACTCGTTATGTTTGTATCCTGTATATCTCTCTGTAGTGTAACTATCCGTGATTTACCCAAATAAACATATATTCCGAGCATCTCCAAAAAAATGTTAAATTTTGTTTTTTATTCTTGTTGCAATAAATATTATTATTATTAACAAAAATTAATCAATTTATTATTTTTATTCAAAAATGTCTAATTCATCTAAAATATTAAAGTAAATAAATATTAAAACTTGAAAATAATTTAAAAAAATATGATATTACATTATAGTAATATTAGTAAATATAATAATATTGAAGCATGTTGGATTTGTAAAGTGCTGAACTAGTTCACTATAAGTGATGTCGACTTCACATGTTCCCATCCGCGTTGACAGAATATAACGAGTTGGTAGGATTTTCCACATACGTACGTGTGTCGGAGACAGGACGACCCGCAGGAATCCGCAGATGGGACAAGATATATTCGGGAGAATAGATAATGATACTCACCCTTGCTCGTTCGCTTCCCCCTTTTCCTGTATCTATATATTTTCTTCCGGAGATCCTCGTGTTTCGCGCAGATGTTTATGATCCACTTTGTTCGCTTCGAAAACACCTGCAAGGAATATCCAAATAAAATTACAAAATCAGCATTAAAACGTCATCATAAATGATATTTATGAAAACATGTATTAAAAAAAAATTTGGAGAATATGGAAATATTATGCAATCGGTAACGATTTCCATAAATTTCATGTATAATTACGTGATCGTTTATACATAAAATGAACCAATCAAAATCTCTTAATTGATTTTTAAGAATTAATATTATAGCTTATTTCTTATTAAATAATACAGGGTGCATAAGATATTTAAGGATGGATTTATGATCGCCAAAAATTTCCAAATACTACAAACTCTTTGTAATATCATTCAATAAAACCTCAATAACTACAATACGAAATCTAAATTATCAACAATGCTTTAAATTATTTTGATTCATTATTCTGAATGTAGAAACTTTCATGGAATTTAAGTGTGCACACAGTTTGACAGACACTAGCGGCAAGTGTCTTTACATACTGAAGCCACAGAAATACAGCCAACGAATTGAAAAAAGAAAAACAATGAAATAAAGCATACATAGGGAAATGATTGATCATTCAATTATATGCTTCATCAATTATTTACTTGAAATTTGTTATTTATTTAAATCATGAAAATTATATTATATCATTCAATATTTGAACATATTTATAAATTTATGAAAACTTCCTAGTGATATATATTTTTTGATCAATAATACTTCAAGCTCTGAATTTTGCATCTCAAAATAAGTTTTGAAGGGTCGGAATGTTTGGATGTGATAATCAATTATTGAATGGTATTTTATAGTAATTTCAAACATTTCTTCTGCCGTTACAATAGTAAGCCCTCAGTTTCACCTTGGTAGCTTCTTCAATATCTTTCTCAAGTTGAAGAAAAGTCAATACTTTGTACTTATCAAATAGTACCATTATCGAATGCAATGATTAGCCAGAAATTTCAAGTTCTTTCCATATAACCCGATCCATTAGGTTCCAGCCAAATGGCCTGTTATTTCCGTTCCGTTGAGTGTCTTCAAATACCTTACGCACGCTGTAATAAATATAAATAATATCAGACTTTTTTTCTTATATAAATATCTTATATAACGAATCTTTACACCAACAAAAATATTTATATAAAATAACATTTGAACTTTTTATCTAACAATACAATTTTTTGTTGAGATTTTAATTGAGAAGTTAGCAAACACAATGTATGAAAACTATAGATATGTTACTTTGCACTTTGTCAGATATTATTAGTTAAATTTAGATGTTTTTTTTTATTCTCAATATTTAACAAAAAATAATTTTCAAAATTAAATATTTCTTTGTATTGTAATATCGTCAGACTCTTAAAATTTAATATATTCAGCAATTCTCCACGTAACGTGGCTTCCATCAGTGCGGATTTACTGTAGTACGGTTTGAAAAGTTCAAAACAAACTACATTTTTTTGTGCAGTTTGAAATTAGTCCGGTTTATTGTATTTTGAAAACTTGAAGTTGTTGATAAAATTTTATTTTATATCAAATTTTCAGCAAATCATATAGAACCCTTTTATGTATGAGTATAGTGGAAGCGTATATTGGTGAATTTAAGAGTGAAAACGGGATTTCAACCGAAAATTGGGGAGACAAGATATTATTTCCACCTGCCGTGTAACTTTTGCAGATTTATATAGATATCTTTATATACATCAAACAAATCATCTAGTTCTATTAATTAAAGATCCTACGTTGTTAAGCATGATTTGTTCTTGAATTTTTAATTTTAGCGTGGAAAACAAACTGTTTTAGAAAAGTATAAGATACAACATAGGATTAAAAAGCAAGTTAACAATTCTTTTTTCTTCTTTGGAAGTAAAAATGGTAGAGATTAAAGAGAATTGTGAAAAGGGTGGGTTAAAGTATAAAAACTGTATAATGAGTATTATACTAAAAAGAGTTTATTATAATGAATAATCGATATATAAAAAAGTAATCTGTAATATGTTTGTAAAGCGCATCTATTTAAGAAGTAAATTATTTGAATTATTTAAATGTAAAGGCCGGGTTAATGTCATTGCAATTTCCTTACTTTATTCATATAACCTGGTTTTGCAAAATTTGTTACTACCTGACCGTTTTCCCTTTCGTTTTAGAGTTAGAAGCAGGCAGTACCCTTTTCCGACCTTCCCGGAATACCAGCAACGGGCTGGATTGGGGCGCACCGTACCGGCCTTGTAAGTGACGTCATGTAAGCGGGTTGGAGTGAGCACAACAAAACTTTCCATGTATTTATGTTTAAACTATAATAACTGTAAAATCGCATAATTCGTTACTAAACAAAAGACATTTTATAGAATATAAATAATTAAACACAGTTCGTTATTTGGACCAAAGGTATTTTCTATTTATTGGTTTGTCTTTCAGTTTTTTTCAGTTTCCATCTATTTCTTGATTGACATTTAATTACTTTTATAACACAAATCAAAACAAAAATGTCATATTATACGTAAAACATGTTTGTCTAAATAATATTTTCAGAAAAAATAAAGAAAAACTCCAAAAAGTATTCCTTTTTGCTTTTAAAATCATTGTAAATAAATTGAAATGTTTTATTTTCACATATTATTTATAGCGTCCGCCCGTACTAAGCAAAACAAATTCTAAAAATTAGTACACAAACTTATTTGTCTCGCTTATTTTGCGGTTTATTTTTATATAAATTTAGTTTCTTGATTAGTGCAATCGATCACCTGCACATTCTGTTATTGTAGTACTTTTGTAATAATATTAATATATTGGCTCAAAAAAATAATATAACATAGTGAAAAATAAAATATATTAAAAAAAAACAAACAAGAAAGCGATTCTATATAAATATAACGATCTCATGATTAAATCAGAAGGTTTTAATTATGTAACTTTAAGTTAATTTACTTTCAATGATACTACAATCAAATCTTTTAGTTTTATTAATTAAAGATCCTACGTTGTTAAACATGATTTGTTTTTTGATGTTTCTTCTTTGGAAGAAAAAATGGTAGATATTAAAGATAATTGGGAAAGGGATAGGTTAAAGTATAAAAACTGTATGTTGAGTATTATGCTAAAAATAGTTTATTGTAATGAATAATTGATATATAAAAAAGTAATCTAATGTTTATAAAGCGCATCTATTTAAAAACTATATTATTTGAATTATTTAAATGTACAGGTCGGGTTAATAGGATTGCAATTTCCTTACTTTATTCATATACTCTGGTTTTATCGAAGGTTTCCATAATTTTAAGTTCACTTTTCAGCTTATCTATCCTTTTGTCGTTTAACTGAATTTGTTTTATCATCACCTTTTTTGCAGAAGACTTCATTCCGTATCTTGTTATCATATAACATTGTAAGTACAAACGGTTATTTTCGTCTTTGAGCTTGTAAAGCTGATGGGCACAGGTTTTCTTATTCTCTTCTAGGGACATCTTGGATTGTTCAAGTCGAAACGTTAACTAAGATTGTCAACCATCTAAAAGCGGATGGTACTTTTGATCAGTGGTGGGGGTATGGTCATTGGCAAAAGATGCTTGTAGCGCCCCCTTCCTATAATGAC